TGTTGACAAAGTTTATCTATGGTAACTAAACTAGAAAACAATGCTATAAAATGAAGGTTATGATCACCTAGCAGTAATGGAATGAATTTAGACTGTTTTATATCTCTTACACTCTAAGAGATTTGTTAGCATAGACTAGTAATGGACAGAATTGATTTGTCCATTTAAGAATAAAATAGCAAAACAGCGGAAAAGAGAGGGATGGGACAGAACAAAACGTTTTGCAATGGAACAGAATTGTACACAGACCTTCTCATTTTTATAATGGAACAGAATTAACTTATAGAGTAGAACAATAATTACATTACATTAACAACTTACACATTTTACTTACATACAGCTTGTAAAATACCTTATAGTCATGTTTCAATTAGATGTACTGTACTGTAATTAATGTGTCCTGTTCTATTCCAAGTGCTACAATGTACCTTATGTTCCAAGTTCAGATTGCAAAGGGAAGTATTGCAGAATGATACTGAAGGTTGAAGTTTGTCTTCTAGGGAATCGAGGGAGGGTAAGGATTATTATTTAAAAAAATGTTTTTTTAAATAATAAAACCAAAAACTTTGATCTTCCTGATATTCTGACTAAATGCCTAATAGGCTAGGCAAATGGAAGTTTAACATCCCCAAAATTGCAACAGTTTTTAAATTAGGCTTATATTGTATATTGATACCAGTTGAAAAACATATCAAAAATGTAGAAAAATATATGCAGTGGACAAATATGAAATGTCACATTCTAGGTACCCCCCTCCAAATTTGAGTATGGGATTGTAAATATTTTTGTATTTCAAAATGGGATGCTCTTCTCAACTAAACGAGTAATATTATGATAGTTTACTGACATAAGAGCAACTAAAAATTGTTAACCAACTATTTGAGTGCAATAATTGGCATTTCTAGCCCCGAATATCTGAAAATAGGCCATCAAATAGCCCGAATTTAATATAACAATGTATTTTTTTCTGTATCTATTCATCAGAATTGCATGAAAAAAATCAAGGAGGTCATTATACACCTGACCATTGTATTTGATAAGTATCAGGGTCATTAAGTGGATATTGAGGGTGAAAATAATATTTGAAATTTCAAAATTTTACAACACACACTTTTGGGGTGACCTTACTTTTGTTTAATCACTTCCAAGATATGTCATATTTGAACTCAATAGCACAACTAAATTATTCGTAAAGGCTTATTTTATCCTGAAAACAGTTTTTTGATGTTTTCAGGAAAGGATTATGTAAAAAAAGTAGAAAAACAGCAAATGCCAGGTGAAATATAGGAGAAGCCCTACTTTTAGTTGATAACTGCTAAAATATCAAATGTTTTTTTCCTTTTAAATTCAATTTGATATATAATATACCTTTTCTGGTAAAAGAGAGAACGATTTGTTAGAAATTAAGTACAATCGGTGGTCTAAAAATATCCTAGAAAAGGCAACAAAATGTTAAATATCCCTGTCCCTGACATCAGTTTTTTAATAATATGAGCCAAAAAGGTAACCCAACCAAATGTTTGTTAATAACCTAGTCATTCAGCATGGGTGTGACATCATATTTGGCACAATTACCTTGTTCAATGTTCATTGTGTCATTGATCTATCCTTAATAGTCACGATTTTATTGCCATTTACAAAATGTGCTCAAAATATCGAAATGTGCCTAACTGACTGGACATCAATACCACCATTTTTTATTATCTGTGGACCTTTTTTCTATACTAACAACACTTGAAACATTAAAACAAGAGATAAGAATGAAAATGAGAGCCATGACACAAGATTTTTATGCTCCTGATTTGAACAACTACGTACGATACGTTCAAGTTGGCCTCCAGGCATGACACTCATATTTCATGGCATGGTATAAAATGGCCATAAAAATCGTGACCACTAGAGATAAACCACCGAGACTGGGTAGATTGATAATACATTGACCAAGGCTCAATTCTGCCAAATATGACACTAAATCCAGGATGACTGGACTGGGTTATTAAGATTTGTTTGGGTTACCTCAGTCTTTGGCTCGCCCTGTATTAAAGAAAAATTGTTACTTTTGACTAAGGTGTTCTTAACCAGTGATATTGAGAAATGAAATGAAGAAGTTCAACTGAAGAATGTTGGATTTCAAGATGAAATTTAATAAAAAATGAGGAAAAGGTTTCTACGTTAATAAATACTACTGAGTTAACTAGTGTAAATCCCTGGTCTTTATACAGGGCATGGCTCGATTATGTTATGTTCATTATCAAAAATGCTGCCTTAATTTTGTAATCTTAACCTTCATATATGTGTCTTACTTATAGAGAGCGAAAAATAATGCTGATTAAATAAGCTAATATTATGTTGTAACAACAATCAGTTACAACCTTGTCTATCACCAGTCTTCATCAGGGGTGGATCTGGGAACCAGCAAGGGGGGGTGCCAAATTTCAGGTCAGAGAAGAAGATTTCTGCGCTTGCGCGGAAAAAAATGCTGGGCCCCTAAACCGCTAAAGTGGGTCCGAATTTTGAAATATTGAGGCCCATTTTCTTCGAATTTGGCCTGAAATTAAAAAATAAGGCCTTAAAAGGCCCTCTTATGACCAAAAAGGCCCACTTTTTAGGGCCGTAAGGTTTTTTGGTCCCAATTTTTATTCTGGGCCCACCCAAGGGGGCACGGCCCCCAGCCCCCCCCCTCAGATCCGCCAGTGTTCATTATTTAGTCATCATTATTTTCATGATCAGTTATGGAGGTATTTGCACAAATTATGCCTTTGCATACCTACTTCATAGAAGTACAATATGCCTTACACACACAATGGATGATCTCTATAATTGTTGTTTTCCGCAGCATCAGAAGTTGGAGGAAGAACACGGGGCTGCAATAATTCAGATCTTGCTGCTCTCGTTTAATAGAATTTTTGAAGCCTAAGTTCATTTAGGGTTTCACCATTTTTCCACCATAAATTGACAAAAGAGCATGTTCCTCTGCAATGACAGAGTTACTTGCATTTCACTGGTTTTCCACTTGATTACGTTGTAACAAAATGTCGGAACATCGAAGATATGATTTTTCTTTTTTCCTTATTTCACACGTTGTAGGCAGAATTATCACAAACATGTATCAGTATTATATGTTTAAAAAATGGACATATTTGCGAACAAATAGTTCAGAAGACAACAGAATCGTCGATCGTCGCAACAGTTAAGATCTGCACTTTGAACTGCCACCGTTTATGTAACTTAAGTAAGGAATTAAATCAACAATTCTGTTGTCGTCTGAGCTATTTTTGCGCAAACATGTACATTTTCTAAAACATATGATACTGATACACGATTGTGAGAAAAAAAACATCGTGGTGATTCTGCCTACAACGCGTGAAAAAAAGGAAAAAAGAAATATCGTGCCTTCGACGTTTAGACATTTTGTTACCGAAACGACCCGTTTCGGTAACAAGCGTAATTGATCGGATCACCAGTGCTTTGATAATTTGAAAACAACCGCTTGTTTTCTCAAGAATTCACTCTTTTCTATCTGCCTCAATGATAGCTTCTTGTCTATGCCATATATCACCTGAATGCGTTGTCACACCCCAGAAAAGATAAACAAAATATTGTCACAGACCACTTTTCCCGAAGACAATCTTATTTCATTTATATTCCAACATTTTGATTCTTGGGTTGCTGCTTTTGGTTCAGGTTTGAAGAAAATGTTGAAGTTTGTGTTTTGTGCATGATAAATTAAAAGCACAAGTAGATCTGTATGAGTACTGTATTTGAGGTTTGGACACTTTGCATTGCAGTTTTCACAATCACAATATCTGCATCTGATTCTGAATGTAGCACATGTACACTTGAAATGTTTTCCAACCTGACAGACAGATTTACCATCATTCCTACGCACTGAAATTATATTAATGAAAGACTCCCCAGATATCTGAGATTTAAATGTGCTCTATCAGTTTAAATTCCGTTTAATAACCATAAATTCGTTTCTACAGCATTACATCCAATTAATAGTTCCAAAGTAATGTACACGTACTCTTATGTAATGATTTCTTTATCCGATGAATTTAAATTTTGTAATTGCGGATTGTAAATAATAATTTAAACAATATTAAATTACACAGAAACTACAACTTACATTATTTAGATAAGCCTAGAATAGACCAGTTATCAAATACCCTAATATCAGAGTGGTGATATGTAATTATTCATCAAATACAAGTGAGGTCACCTTAACATTTCACCTGGTGCAACTAATAATTCCTATTTTTCATACTAATAAGGTATAAACCGTCACAAAACTTGTATTTTAGATGATGACAATCCTATATAAATGATTTAGATGTCAACTCTAATACAAATGTGATGCATTGTGGGAGTTAGTCATCAAAACTATAGTCTCCCCTATAGTAGGCGGGGCAAAACTATGAAAATGAAATGATTTTTTTCTTCCTAAGTATACACGTTAGAATTCTGACACTCACCAAATATGAATTTCATATAAATATGTAACACCATGATTTTTTTCATGCTTTTCTGACAAACTGATCCTAAAATATCTAAATAGATATGTGATAACATGCCTGTTTTGTGGCCTATTTTGTTATACTTTGGGGTCAAATGACCAATTACTGGTCTCAAAAATGATTAAAATAATATTTTAATTATTTGTTAATATGTGACCTATCATAATAATGCTTGAATACTTGACTAAAGTATTCAATTTGGGAAAGAAAAATTGTTTCCTACCAATACTCAATTTTGGGGTAGGGTTGTAGGGGGTACCTAGGAAGTGAAATTTCATATTTGTCCACTGCATACATTTTTCTACATTTTTGATATGTTTTTCAACTGATATCAGTACATAATATAAGACTAATTTAAAAACTGTTGCAATTTTGGGGATGTTTGGGCCTTTTATGAGCCCATTTGCTTGGCCTATAAATAATCAGGAAGCGATGTGTATATTATTTTATTGACTCTTATATATGTCAATGATTACTACTTACGTAAATCTGAATAATCATCCACCAGTATGATTTCTTTAATTAGTTCTGGAGGTGATCTGTCGATGACACTGTGGACTGTACGCAACAAGACGGACCAAGCCTCATTGTGGAAACATATTATGACACTGGTATCAGGAAGGTTGGAGTGGTACGACAGTGGCTTGCATCTGAAAGTTAAGTGGTAGCCGAGACTGCATTATACTTAAAGGGCTAAACAAGGTATATGTCCAAATCTGCAACAGATCACTATGAATTGAAAATATTTCATGGTTTCATAGGATAGGAATTATAACTATTAGAACTTTAATAAACCAAATGTTTACATGATAATAACAAATGATGATGCAATTATTTAAACACTATAGCATATTTCCAGGAACCTACACATATACAGAGTCAGGATGAAAATGAGAAGCATATACCAATTGAAAATTAATCAACTGCATTCTAAATAACATGCAATTCTCATCTTTGAAGACAAAGACAAAGACACTATTTTTACATTCAACAATATCCAAGCTTCTATTAACAGGGAGGAAATAAGTTCACTGGTTAAATAGTTACACAGTGTTGTACTAAGCTGTTGGTTCACACTGTAATGACGAATCATGGAGTTATGAAATAATGTTCTTAGTCTCGTGTACATGCACACACATGTTAAATGAGACTAATGTTTTGCAAGCTAAAAAATATTTAAAGACCGAGATTCTGAGCATCAAACTTTATGTCATTTTATATGTTTGATAGTTTGATTAATTAATCTTCTATATAGAAATCAGCATTTGTCTCTTTAAGTAATTAGTGATATTGCATTTTATGATCACCCCCATTAATGACTGTTTATATTGAAGTTGTATCCAGTCATGCAGATATTGATTACAATCTACATTCATTTAGAAATAAAAATAATACTGCTCAAATATTTTTGCTGATCCCGCTTTTGCTTAAAACAACAATAACAACAGGCCTTTGTCCTTTCAATAATATTTATTGGAACATATTTTAAATCATGAAATAATATTAAGGTAATCCTACTTACTCTTCATCCCTCATGTCAGGCAATGAGCGATGTAAGGAGATCATGTCACTGGCATACTGATTGAACGCATTGTTTTGGAAGCCAGCATCGTATATCTTCCTTTCAGAAGGTGACAGGTTCTCTTTCTTGATAAAGACAGCTTTCCCCATGGCACCTACAAACATTCCATACACTTGAGGTTAGTATGTGTCCTCTGTATAAGCTTAAATTGTCTCATTGTGGCTTGATTATGGGAAGAAGCACTATTCATAATTAAATCAACTGAAACTATGTAATTGAAAATATATATTTGAAAGTCTGAATTTTCATACTTGATCTCACTAAAGTTTTTACCAGTTTATTTATCACTTGGAAGAAATAATAATAAGAGTCTGTTGTTATTTATCTTGAAAAAATTGTTCATGTACAATTTCTATGCATAATTTCCATGTATCATTTTTGTAATGTCACAAGATTCCATGAACAATAAATTGATGTAATTTTAGATTTGACCTTCATTGTAAGTTGGTACTCACCAGGTTTATTTGGATCTTCTGTGGTGGTCTTAATTTTGTGAACACCATGGGCGCCTCCCAACTGCATATTATTACTTTTATCATTTGGTTTAAACCTTAAATTGTCATCTGGCTTATTATCTGGATCATCATGTATTCTCCTCCCTAAGTTATCCCCTTTGCCATGTATATCATCATCTGGGACTGGGACTATTTCAATTCTGTCATTAGGATTATCTACAACTGGTTGTACATGATGATCTTGTGGTGGTTCATGAATATTCACTGCCGCCCTATTAAATTTTGGATGTGGTGAGTCAGGATCCTCAATGTCACTTTTACCACCTCCGGTAAATGTTGTTATTCCTATGGCTATAAACCATAGTATTGGAATGGCTAGGACTAATTTAAATATGAGACTACGACGTCTACGCAGCATGATGCAGCAGTGTTAGTTAGAACCGTTGTTGTAGAACACGGTCACTTATATTGAGCTTTTGGAAAAGTTGAGCTTGAGCCGTTGCATATAGGAAAGTATAGCTTTTGTCACCTGCTTTGTTCAAGCATCTTTTAAACACAATCTGAAAGCAAAGAAGAATACATACATGATTTTCTATGATAAAAATGTTTTACAAATTGTACATACTGTAAGAATCCAATATATAAATAAAGAACATAAACTCGTAAAAATGTGTGAAATACATTAAAGAGAACCAATTCATTAACATGATGCTTGAGTAGGTGTTCCGATTCTGCTCAATAAGACGTAATGTTTTCTGATCCATTTGAGGAAGCATTTCCCTGAAGTGACAGAATTGAATAGCTGACAACATAATATTCATCTCATTTTGTTTCATCCATAACTTATTTTCAACCAACGCTCTACCTTGATCATCAGACCTTTCTAATAAAAAATATCAATTAGGATGTCAATTTTTTCAATGTCATAATTTTAGTATTATAATCTAGAGCGCCAATACATTCCACTTATGATATCCAATCCCTGGCAAGACGTCTCAATTAGTTTATACATCACACAGAAGATCAAATGCTTCACAAATACTAAGAATTACAAATTAATTTTCTCTCAGCATCCTAAGATGACGTCTCAATTTGCAATATTAAATAAATTGATTCATAAAGCGTAAAACTATTACCGATTACTTCAAGAATCCATATATGTTGGAATACTTCAGAAGATTCCGTTTCACAAATGATTCTATTGTATAAAGAATGTTAAGCCTTGCTAAATCAGTAATCATGCAGTATACCTATTTTAACATAACATAAATCTTTGTGTTTGGTTAATGCTGTGTTGCAGGCAATTAATTATAAATATAATATTGATGTTAATAGCAATCAATTATATATCAATACCTCAAGGAAATATACTCTGAATTATTATGTTCAAACCTATCTGGTTGGTTGTAACACATGCAATTATATTATGGCTATTTTGTTATGTAACAGGTTATGCCAGGACTATAGTTGACTTAGAAAATATAGTATATATCATGAGGTGGAGTGGGAGGGGAAGAGAGCTGGGAGGGGGTTGAGTTTGAAAAGGAGGGTGTAAGATGGAAGACACTCGGATTGAGAGGGAGGATGGGAAAAGCTTGGAGGAAAAGGAGGTTGAGTTGGAAGAAGAGGGTGTAATATGATAGTTGGATTGTGAGAGAGGGGGTAGAGGAGAGCTTGAAGAGAGAAAAAAGGTGAAAGGAGAGAAGAGGGATGTAGGTGAGAGTTGAAGAAATATATTCCTGGTGATTTTTACTTCCTACTTGATAAAGCTGATCTATTATTACACTGTAACCGTTTACTCAGCCAATTTATATCAGTCAAGATGAAAAATGAATTCTAAGCTCTGCAGACTTCAATGTAAACAATCCCCCAAGTGCATCTTTAATTTACGATTTCCCAAGTCTTTATTTGAAGCTATAAAACATTATCTCTTCATTCTTCTGTACAAATTTATTCCACACGATATCACATGGAAAATGTACTTTCTGGTAACTGGTGTTTTCTGTAGTGAGAAAATACAAAGAGAAACTTTGAAGGGAAACAACCCTAATTTTAGCTGTAATATTGGTCATTTTGTGTTTCGCTTTAAATCATCTTAATCATCTCCATCTCCTAATATTTCACTGCAGTCTTCTCCTAATTAAGTACATGTAAGTGTCTCATAGATAACAATACAAACATTGAATTTAACAAATTAAGACACAAGGTGAGCAAAACTTTATTAATAATCTACCCAGCATGCCCAAAGCCTCTTTCAGATCTCTTGCATCTGTAAAAATTTCAAGTTGAAGGAACTAGTGGTTTTCCTGGGGTTTTGATTAAAAGACTAATACCCACCCACCCAGACATCCAGATGCAAAAAGTGGTATATTGAAAACATGACACCATGACAATCAACATCTCTGGGCACATATACTTACATCTTTTAAGAATAAAATATGTTTCATAGATTCTTTTAATTTAGATTTGGATTTATATCTCTGACATGTTACATGTCAGTACTCAAAGAAAATGGAAATAAATTGATACCAGCTGAATTTTCTCATTTTGCTTAAAGATTGCAAATCTATATAAAGCAAAATAAACACAATAATACACTGTACATGAACAAATCTTGTTTAAATTTCTAATAAGATTGGATTAAATGTTTTTAAAGAAAGTCATCATGACCTGCCAATAGAATAAATAAAGTGTACATGAGATTGGAAAAACTTGAGAAGGCTGGATTGAGGAAGATGACACACAAAAGGATTTCATAGATGATGACACACAGCAACTTTGTTTTGAACTTTCCAAAAAAAGAGACTGGTAGATAAGCATTGATCTGGTAAATCAGAATGGGTGGTTTCATTTCATTCATATGAAGATGTGAAGTCTAATCAGAATGGATGGGTTCATTTCATTCATATGAAGATGTGAAGTCTAATCAGATGGGTAGACTTTTTATAAGTCATTGAACCCCACATTGAACCCCACATTGAACCCCACATTGAACCCCACATTGAACCCTACATTGAACTCCTCCACTTCACTTCATTTGCAGCAAATAGAAATGGACAAAGAGTAGTATTCTTTTTAAGTGCCTCTATCGGCCAAGTTGATTCTGAAAACTTGGTATTCAGGTTGAGGTTCGCAAAGCTCCTTTCTTGGACGGGTTCTGTTTGTATGGTCCATGTTTATTTATCTAATTCTACTGGGTTTACCATAATGCAATATTAGGCAATAGAGACATCATGTTAAAATACTTGTTAAAATTTTTGATGAATCATGTCTCCATTCTCCGAAAGGACTTTGATCACAGTTCTATTCTCCAAAAGAACTTTGATCATGACTCTATTCTCTGAAAGGGCTTTCATGGTGTTACTTCTTCCAGTGCTGCCTTTAGGACTTCAATTACATTTCTAGCATTATTCAATCAATCATTGATGGCAATCAAATTGTGCGTACACAAAATTCAATTCACTTTCAACAGCGTCTCTGTAATTTATTGTTCCTATGGCCATCATTGAATAACAGTTCATTATGATGATTATCGAAACTCAGATGAGTTTATACTGAGTTTGCATTGACTTAATTGAAATTCAATTCTGCTACAATTGACCCTTTTCTATATAAATGGAAAAATGTGGCCAGCGATTTCACATTGAAATTAAAATCCCTTTAAGAGTAAATGAACTTTTAAAGGTTTTTCAACATTGTGTCAATGGGAATTTATACAATGTTTCAGAAAACTTGAAAATCTTAGAATTTGAATAAAGGTAAATAACTGTACAAATCAAAGTTGTTTTGGTAGAAAATTACATACAGAATTCAAATATGCCATCAATTGGAAGAAAATGTTGGTCTTTAATGGTTAAAAATGCAGCTCCTAAAACCTAAAATCTCATTAAAAACGGGTCTTTAATGGTTAAAATGCAGCTCCTAAAATCTCATTAAAAACGAGATTTCAAAGTTACATGGAAAAGACTATATTGCAACTTAGACTCAACTATAAATCCCATATAGAAAAAAACTTCTCCTCTTAAATCATTTTCTTTTTCTATATATGGTATATTATCATGGGAATCAATGATTTATATAAATCACATCTTCTTACATATTACAGTAACTCAACTTTAAAGAAATGAAAATAATCTTTAGGGTGTGTCCTTAAAGGTAAATTTTCTTAAGGTCCTTATTCATTGCAGTTTAAACATTTGAAAAGAGAAACTGACTGCTCTTTCACTTAATTTTTTCTCGATACTGAGCATGCAATTTAAATATAAATTGGTTTAAAATTAGAATACAGCAAAATACACACTTACTAATATAAAGATATACAAATCCCTGCAGTAAAATCTCCGAATTGTAGAAATAGCATCTTTAAACAATATCTAATAACTTGCTTGGTTAAATTTAAACTCAACTGAATCGAAGGACTTGTCAAACTAAAATGAAGATCAGTACAGAGTGGCGATAAACTCGTCAAAAATCCTCAGATCATGTGGCAGATTGCACTTATTATACTCCAGCACATGGCAGTGACATTAAGACCCTTACAAAAAGTTAACAGTGAAACAACATTATTTTATTACTCTTACCAATAAGTGTAAGAAAAAATATATAATTAAATGCATATTTGCATCTTCTAATGATTGGTATCCTCATTAATCAAATCAATTAATTCATTTATTTGTTTGCAAAGGAAATGGTCTCATGACATTTTTTTGTAAGAGACTTTGTAAATTATGTTTTCTTAGATTGATCAAGTTTATGATGTAATAATGACTATATTAGCCTTTTTCCAAACCTAAAATATATTCCTTTTTACCACAAATGCCTTAAAATGAAATAATACTGAATTCTGGCATTTAGAAGGATTCATTAAAAACACATGTTGTTTCTTACCTAATAGGTACCAATAGCTCAGCTTTGAACATTATACTTTTTGAACAGCAATGTTCTGCAATCACTCGGTTAAAAGACGGTGAAACAACACTTAACATATTTTTATGAACCTTTTTATGATACACAGTATACATTGTTTCAATTGTTAATTGATAGCTTAGTAAATGGATTACTAGACTCATCACATTTCAAGATAGAAATGCCCAAGCAATATCTTGTATTAATTTGTTTCATTTTATAGACTTTATTACAGATATCCTGTTACTAACAGAACAATTCTATCAATGATGTTAACTAGAATTATTACTTCTTTATAAGCTATGAACACTATTCATGATAAATCCCCCCTTTGACACAAGTGATGACATATAGATACAAGTAACTACAAAGGGTCTTATAATAGACTACAAATAAAACATTTAAAAAATGAATGCCTATCAGTTTTTGATGTAGATTTTTTATATGAGAATTTATTTCCTCTGGCTTTCAGAGAGTAACATGGTTTATATCAGTACACACTCAAATCAAAATACTCTAAATGTAATTATTATAAAACTTAATTAGTAGTGTTAATTGATGTACAGATGTTTTTAGGTTATCACTTATATAATGACCCCTCAGTAAAACATATGAATTAGGAAAAACTAATACAGTACCTAACATGATTTTTATA